GTTACAGTTTCCCTTTTCCTTATTAGAGGAAGAAAGGCATAGAGAAACCACATTACTGCTGGTTAGGTCTTTAAAGCAAACGTTGAGGAAGTGTGGCCTAAAGACCACACATGTCCCTGAGGGCTTAGTTGTGGCCCAGACAGCCGTATGGGGACCAGTTTTTTTTTGTCCCCCAAACACCCCAAGATAGTGTGGGGGTCACTTTCCCTTCACATGCCATTTTTGGCCAAGCTGACTCCCTTTTCTTGACAGGAACTGACCTAGAGCTTGACTTCTGGATTACTTTCTGTTGGAAAACAGTTCTTTTCTGTCCCAAAAATTACTCAGAGGCAGCCCAAAATGTGCAGAAATTGCCCCCCATGCCCATGGGGGGGGGCATTGGAGGACATTTAAAGGTCAATTTTTTTAAAAGAAATTTTTATTTGGAGGTACAGCTCTCCAAAGTGGGTCAGTGTAGCCCCATAACCTCTCCTTGGATTCAGAGTATATTTTGGCACTGGCTTGCTCTGAGTAACTGCCATTATAGAACTTAACTAACATCTGTGTCTGAGCAGGGTTCATATGGGCTGAGAGAAGATGGTGGCTGGGTCTCTGCCACTACTACAGGGCTCCCTCCAGATTTGCTGCCTTGGCAGTTGTGGTTTCGATCATTTGTGAGGCCATGGCTGTGGCGCCCTTCCCCCTCCCTCCCTTACTGGCATCCCCCCCCCCAGCACGGGAGATTTTAATCTGCGCCCAGGCCACTGGGGACATGTAATCAGCCCTAACAGCCATCAGGGCTCGCTTTCTCAGCAGCACCCAGGGCCTGTCTGCACATGCCCCGCCATGTCCACCATAGCCAGTTGATGTATTGCGCGTCCATTCACTACTGGGCATGCGCTACTGGGGCATGCGCTACTGGGCAAGTGAGTCCTGATGGCTGCCAGGGCTGAATACAAGCCCCAGCAGCCTGGACTCCGATTAAAGTCCCCAGCACCAGGGGGAAGATGCCAGTAAGGGAAGCAGTGGGGGAAGGAAGGAAGGAAGCGAGGGGAGGGAGCGAATTTCACAAATACAGTCACTCCTCCATTCTCACAGACTTGAGATCCATGAACTTAAATATTCACAGAGGGGTGACCTCCTTTAATTTCAATGGGGTGCCCACTGCATTCAAGCCAATGGGGCTTGAATATTGGTGAATCTCCATTTTCGGGGGGG